CACACACACACACACTCACCACATTAAAAAAAAAAAGTAAAGATCCCTTTTCACGCCTTAAGGTGCATCGGGCACACGGCCAGCTCCAGTATATAAATCTGAAGCTGGCCGTGATCGGGCATATAGGAAGAGCACCAATATTTGTACAGACAAATTGGTACTCGGTGTGTAATGTGGTCAGCATTACGTCTGCCTTCTTTACTTTTCCAGGACAGCCATCCTGGCACGCATTTCAGGCTTGGTCGACCTGCGACGCCCCAAACCATGATTAAAAATCCACGCAGCCAGCAGTGGGTTTCCAACGCGGTACGTCGGAATTACGAGTCGGAATCGCAACGCCTAAACCACGGACGCCGCACTCACAACATAGCGAATACTAATCATAGTCTTTACAAGGACAAGCACAGCAGAAAAGGTCTGCTTTACAGGAACATGTTAATAAATTAAATTTGGTCGTTGCCGCCCCAAAGCCTTCATCATCAACACGCACACGTACACACATACACACGCACAAACACCAACGGACGCTGTTCCGTGTATTTTGTCTTTTTGTCTATGAGTGAAATGGCCCTTGACTGCAGGTTCTGTGGTGAATCCTTCAGCATTGTCGGCTATTGTCACTTTGGAATATGACCCTCCACGCAGCCCTGTGACACGAGAACACGCGCAGTGTTAGTCTCTCCCAGTGGTAATTGGATTGATCGGAAAAATAAAACCTGTCAGTATCAAACTTTGTCTTCTGCGTTGATTCTTTATTGAGCGTTTGACACGCTGTATTTCGGTTTACAGCAAGTCTGTGATATTGTCTCCTTTCGGTCAATCACATCAGATTTCAGCAAGCTCTCAACTACAAAAGATGCACCATAGAAGTATGAAAGAATTTGACATGTTAACTGAGAAAGATGTACCAGCAAAGTGTGAAAAAATGTGACATGACACATGCAAACGATGCAGCAGCAAAGTATGAAAGAATGTGACACGACAACTACAAAGTACCAGCAAACTGAGTAACTGAGAAAGATGTACCAGCAAAGTATGAAAGAATGTGACATGACAATTACGAAAGATGTACCAGCAGAGTGGAAAAAAATGTAACATGACGATGCAACAGCAAAGTATAAAAGAATGTGACACGACAACTACAAAGTACCAGCAAAGTATGAAAGAATGTGACACGACACCTACAAGTACCAGCAAAGCATGAAAGAATGTGACACGACAACTACAAGTACCAGCAAAGTATGAAAGAATGTGATACGACAACTACAAAGTACCAGCAAAGTATGAAAGAATGTGACACGATAACTATAAAAGATGTCCCAGCAAAGAATTTAAAAAAAAAAATCGAAGGACAACTAAAAGTAGTGCAAGCAAAGGATGAAAGTAAGTGACATAACAACTACAATAGATGTACCAACCAAGTGTGAAAGAAAGTGACATGACAGCTACAAAAGATGTACAAGCCAAGTGTGAAAGAATGTGACATAATAACTACAGAGAGACTCATAATCAAAGTGTCATGACAACTACAGCAGAATTCGTAATGTGCTGATAAAAGACACTCAAGCCGCAAAGTTCAGATGTCGTTTGTGTTTGTGATTTGTGAAGCTCACCGGTCGTACTTTCCGTTTTCTTTGATATCTTTCCAACTAAAGAGAAGACCGGTTATCAGAGTGACATGACAACTACAGAATACCTGGCGGTGTAAATTGATCATAAACAAACACTGCTAGATCTCCAGTTTTTTGCAAGGTGAAGAAAACTGGGCCAAGGTGACGACGACAGGCGAGTCACAGTGTGACATGACACAAACAATTACCGGATCTGCAGAATCAGAGCTCAGGTAAAGTTGTTTAGCCCATATACGCAGACAGTACAGATGTTTTTACTTTTGGCGTCGTTCTACGTGGCAGAAATCAGTAAAGGTGAGTGAACTACCCGCAATAATGTTTCTGTTTTCATAAATTATACTGTAAAAGACAGCAAAGGCATTTTGTTATTCTGTGTCTTCGCCACGCCTACAGCGGCTGATGAGTTCGCATTTGACACGTTTTCGTTGAAACTATTAAGTAAAGTAAAGATCCCTTTTCATGCCTTGGGGCATCGAGTATATGTGAACACCACCTATATTTTTACAGACCAATCGACACTAGGTGGGTAATCTGGTCAGCATTACGCCGGCCGTCTTTACTTCCCCAGGGCATACATCCTGGTACCTATTTTAGGCTGGGTCGACCTTCGACGCCCCAAACCATGATAAAATTCCACACACCCAGCAGTGGGTTTCGATCGCGGTACGTTGGAATTACGAGTGGGACTCGCAATGCCTAAGCCATGGACGCTACGTTGAGACTAGTGTGTCGGTATTATTATGGACTCGTTTAGCAGTGATGTGGTCGTGGGTTAGAACTCCCTCCTCTAGGTAGTTATGTCTTTCTGGGGTCAAAGCAGAAACCGACAGTGGTAACCAAAAAACGTTATTAGTGGTCAAGGGTGAGGAGTATAGAGGTACTGACAACTTCGCATGACCCGTTGTGACGAGCGAAAGCTTGGCGTACAGTGTGACGTGCTGTAAAGGCTGCGTGGTGATGTGCGGCGTACCAAAGGTGAATAAGGGCGTCGCAATGTAACAAATAGCACCAACTACTTAATATGCCACTGGCCACATGATGAATGTTGAAGCTTCCAAACGTAGCGGAACGAGAACTCTCTTTAAAGGTTCCATTTGTGTTTTGACAATAGCAATGATCAACACAAGGAGAACATATGCAATTAATAATCCAGACTTATCCAAACACATCAACAAAAGCCCGCTCGTACATCCATGGACTGATATGTTCTCTGTCTTCTGTTCCGCAGTCTGAATAAGTTAATGTAAGTATACCGGCTTACTGCCGAACTGTGACAGTATACCAGCTTTCTGCTGAGGTTTTTATTGGAGTCCCGGGGTAAAACGTCCTCAAGGATCCAACTGAATACAACGTCTGCATCCGTGGAATCCCGGGGTAAAGTGTCATCAAGGATCCACACGTCCGTCTCCTTCGGACTGTAAACATCAACTGCTTGGCATCCCGGGGTAAAGCATCCTCAAGGATCCAACTTGATTGCCATTCCTTCCGTGGCATCCCGGGGTAAAGCATCCTCAAGGATCCCTACCAAGGCCGAACCACACATCTGCCTTGGTCAAACTTCGACTTTCATCTCCTAGAATACAATCCCTTCACAACCTGCGTATTGTTTTGACGTCTTATTTGCTTATTCAGTACCGGTGCGTTCTTGTGCACATCCGCACGCGACACCCGTGGTCAGGAAAAGATGGGTTTCAGACCTATCTCGATTGTGTCAAGACAATGAGGGAACTAAATCTCTTTTTTTTTAGCTCTTGTTATTGAAGAATTTAACTGAGTAGAGTTAATAATCGACGTAACATTCGGAACATTCCCATAAGTGCTCAGTCCCCGCCTTCAACAGCCAGAACAGAATTCCAGTTATCATGGTATCACTAGTCAGTGTTACGAGTCAATTTCACAACCAGTGTCACTAGTCAATGTCATTAGTCAGTGTCACTAGTAAATGTCACTAATCAATGTCACTAGTCAATGTCACTAGTCAGTGTAAGTCAATGTCACTAGTCAATGTCATTAGTCAGTGTCACTAGTAAATGTCACTAATCAATGTCAAAAGTCAGCGTCACGAGTCAAATTCACCAGTCAATGTCACTAGTCAATGTCACTAGTCAGTGTCACTAGTCAGTGTCACTAGTCAATGTCACTAGTCAGTGTCACTAGTCAGTGTCACTAGTCAATGTCACTAGTCAGTGTCACTAGTCAATGTCACTAGTCATGTCACTAGTCAATGTCACTAGTCAGTGTCGCTAGTCAATGTCACTAGTCAATGTCACTAGTCAGTGTCACTAGTCAGTGTCACTAGTCAATGTCACTAGTCAGTGTCACTAGTCAATGTCACTAGTCAATGTCACTAGTCAGGTATATATTGATGTAACGTAACGCTCGGCTGAGCATTGAAAACAACTACAATTTTAACAAACATAGTGCCACTGGGGCTATCACAAATATACACAGTAAACCAAAACATGACTTTCTACCCACACTTAACTGAAAACATGGGTTTAGATGACCATAATTCGTCCCAGGTTTTAGCATAGCCTGCTACATAAACACAGTTTAATGTCTACCGGTCTACTTTCTCGCATGTTCTCTAGAACTATCCTCTATATAGTTCAGAAAGATAGCTGACCCGAGTAAAAAGGAACATCAGAACACTCTCATAAGTACTTCGGTCTCATCTTGAACAGCCAGCGAAAAGTTCCAATTTAGATAGTACCAGAGGCAGTCTGATTAGAAAGGTACACAGGATTACTATGTATTTAAGAGCTTTGTTTCCCTTGGTGGTAAAACCACAACTGTCAAAGCGCCAGCACACGGTTTAATTACTGAGCCACAGAGGCCTCAATATAGGTCCAGCCCTATTTGCCCAATGTACCTAGAGACGTGGAACAGGATACTTTTCTTTTTACTTCACTTACAGAGGCTCCAGTAACAAGATTGGCATCAGGCAGGGCATTATAGAGAACAATGTTATACAGATACAACGGTAACAGAACCAGAGGTCGACCACGCAAAATATGGACCGCAGAAATATCTGAGAGACACTGAAAGTTACTTTGTACGAAACGAACAGAAAGGCCCATTCCAGAGATCTCTTCCTGTCCTGACGCTGCGAGGCATTCCAGGAGTCAAGAGGAGAAGAAGAAGAAGACAGAGGCTCTAGTGTGTCGTTGTTGAACGAACTAATCGGTTCAGACATGATAATCTGGTCACATCAAATGACATTTCCAGCAATAAAAATTTATTAATGAGAGAATAATTAATGGCAAGAGAACTAGAGGATGTATCACCGATCACCGATTTTGGCGATACTATCAAGACACGATCTGGGTAGATGGTTACATATTACATATGTACATAATCTGGGTAGCTTTACATGTACATAAGATGCTTCTGACATGATCTGGGTAGTTGGTTACATATGTACATAAGAAGCTTCTGACATGATCTGGGTAGTTGGTTACATATGTACATAAGAAGCTTCTGACATGATCTGGGTAGATGGTTACATATGTACACAAGAAGCTTCTGACATGATCTGGGTAGATGGTTACATATGTGCATAAGAAGCTTCTGACATGATCTGTGTAGATGGTTACATATGTACAAAGGAAGCTTCTGACATGATCTGTGTAGATGGTTACATATGTACACAAGAAGCCTCTGGCATGATCTGGGTAGATGGTTACATATGTACACAAGAAGCCTCTGACATGATCTGGGTAGATGGTTACAATGTACACAAGAAGCCTCTGACATGATCTGGGTAGATGGTTACACATGTACATAAAAAGCTTCTGACATGATCTGGGTAGATGGTTACATATGTACACAAGAAGCCTCTGACATGATCTGGGTAGATGGTTACATATGTACACAAGAAGCCTCTGACATGATCTGGGTAGATGGTTACATATGTACACAAGAAGCCTCTGACATGATCTGGGTAGATGGTTACATATGTACACAAGAAGCCTCTGACATGATCTGGGTAGATGGTTACACATGTACAAAGGAAGCTTCTGACATGAATCCATTACACTGAGTGCTGGACATTTAAATAAAAATGGCCTTGGCTGTCAGGTCGATCCAGACTTGAGTGGGTACCAAATACAGTCCTAGGAAGTAAATGAGGCCGGCGTGATGATGACCACATCATCCACCAACTACAGTCCTAGGAAGTAAAAGCGGCCGGCGTGATGATAACCACATCATCCACCTAGTACTATTTAGTCTATAAAGTATAGATCTTGCACTATATGCCAATAAGATGGCCTGGAAAAAAGTCCTTTACATTGCACTGAGTGACAATGACATCGTTATCAAGGCACTTCAGGAACTAGTGAACAGTGCGGAAACAAAACAATAGATGATCCCTATGTGGAGAGAATTGTGCAGCAGTGAGTTTTTAGGGGAGCTGGTCGACACTTAACACTTGGAGCAAATGCTACGTGGATGTATAATCTGGCTCGTGGCACTGAATAGTGACATGACTAGTGACATTGACTCGTGACTTTGACTAGTGACACTGACTAGTGACACCGACTTTGACTAGTGACACTGGCTAGTGACACTGACTAGTGATATCTACTAGTGACACTGACTAGTGACACTGACTAGTGACACTGACTTTGACTAGTGACACTGACCTCGACTAGTGACACTGACACTGACTAGTGACACTGACTAGTGATATCTACTAGTGACACTGACTAGTGACACTGACTAGTGACACTGACTTTGACTAGTGACACTGACCTCGACTAGTGACACTGACACTGACTAGTGACACTGACTAGTGACATTGACTAGTGACACTGACTAGTGATACTGACTTTGACTAGTGACACTGACTAGTAATATAGACTAGTGACACGGACCAGTGACGTCTAAAACTGACGTCCTCAACTTACTCCATGTATGGATGGATCAATATACAATTATTTCACTACTTTATTTCAGAAGTACATCCACGGCTGACCAGTGGATGACTTAAGCAAACGGTTCAAGCAACTAAAACAGAAGTCACTAGTGCAATCGCCCCAGAGAACTGACTGGTACATCTCACTCAGTTAGGTAGCTGGTCTAGCTTCTGCAAAAAGTTCAAAGAAAATGTCATTTAAGCAAACGAAGTATTAAGCCGTATAAAGTCACCACTTCATGCCAAGTTACTGCCACGAGTAACTCATACTGCTAACATAAACATCTAACGTCAACCCGCTGACACACATATGTGAACCAAATAACTGGCTCACTCAGTGACTGAACCTAATTCAGTTGGCTCCAGCTGCCCAAAAATCCATTCGTATTGAAGAACTACAGTTTCTGACAATAGCTTGAGTTCAGCTGAATATCTTCACAAACGTATTTGACATAAACTGAAGGAAGAGTTATGGTGCATCAATAGAAGAGATCACAAAGAAGTGGGTATCAGAGGATAACTAGACAGCAGGAAAAGTGACAGCTGCAGCAACTCTAAAGTCTAACCGGGCACTTTCAACTAAGTGTGCGCTTCTCTGAAACAATAAGATTACACCCATACTGGAATCGTTACTTAGCCTGAACTAAGTCTCATTACTGTGACATCGGAGGTACACTGAGAACAATGACGTCTAGCACATCACTAATAAAAATAGCTTTGACTGTACTTTGTGTTGAGTGTCTGATCTCCGCTGTTGCCTGTGACAGATTTACCTTAGACCTGACAGTCAGATACTTCACCGATGTGTCCATGGTTTGTGACCATCCAGAGTTAGAAATATCCCAACAGATCGACGTTCGTTCCATGGCTTGGATACTTCCGGACGGTGCAGTAATCGACTCTTCCAGAAAGCCGGATCCCCGATGGTTTCCATTTATCTGGGATAAATGACCGCTTAGATGCCTACAACCTCACCGTCATGGACGTCAGCGACGACGTATTCGGATACTATACGTGTATCGTAGTGTACGACTTGCAAACCAAACCGCTGGATGTCATTCGATGGAGTATAAATATGGACGGGGCGGATTTCTCGGAGCTAATGCAAACTTACCAGGACAATGCCATCGTTGGAGGCATCGCTGCAGGGGCTATGCTGGTGGCAATCGGGGCAGTGATTTTACTGTGGCACTTCCGGTACAGTAACGCCATAGAGCCCTGCAGATGGACCTGGAGGAGAAGCTAAATGACGCAGACGCTCATGAATTGCCCGCTTCCGGTTATCACAATCAGTCGTATTTATCTGAGCAGGAAATGACAGAAATAAAACCGAAGCTGGAAACTGATGGAGACAGTATCCGTGTGAAGATGTAGAATTCGGTGACTCGGTTACCTCTTATAAACAGATTTTAAATATAAACACATCTACAGTTATTCCATTTCCATCTTCATTGACACAGAAGATGGGCAAGTGTTTTCCTACTCCAGGAACAATTCTTCTCGACAGTTGTTGGCTAAGCCCATGGTGTTGTACAGTTTTATTAAGCTGAATAGATTTTTGATTCGGACTTTTAATTAAGTTGTAACTGGCACCATCAGAAAGGAGACTATTTGTTGGCTGCTATAAATGAGGACAGAGCACCTATGAGCATCTGTATACTGAGTGCATCTTTTGTTCATTCGTAATTTGTTAATTCTGAAGTTATCACTTCGCTTTTTTTTTTTTTTTTTTTAACTATTGTTTAAGTAAAACTCATAAACTCATCCGCAATCATAGTGATACAGACATAACAAGGAAATGCAAAAGCCCTTATCTATAACACCGACAAGGGACTGTAGGTTATTTGGCAATCGCCAGGTGCCCTAACATAACCCAGCCATGAGACTAAACAAATATGGAATTCGCCACTGCTGATTCGCATCCGACTATCTTTGAGTCAGTATGTGATAACTTCTCAGACTACAGACATAGAGAGGGACATCTTTAAAACAAACAATAAATAGAATGAGCAAGGACCGATAAGATAGGTCTGGTACTTGCCTAAAACGTAGCGCAAATAACTAAAGGCTTTTAAATATGGGTTTTCACAAAACTAGTTCCAGTAAAAAAAAAAAAAAAAAAAATCCACGGTCATTGAATCTCTAGAACAAGTCAAAACTCAATCTACGCTGGCTTTCAAATCAAAAACAAGTAAAAGGCTCTAAATGAACACCAGTGAACATAGCATCTGTAGTGAGGATGCCTCGAATAATGTTCGTTTGAGAATGAAAGTAATAATTAAGATATATTAATAAGGAATTGGTATCATCATCGTCAGTTTCTTCTTCTTCTTCTTTTTCTTCTTCTTCTTCTTCTTCTTCTTCTTCTTCTTCTTCTTCTTCTTCTTCTTCTTCTTCTTCTTCTTCTTCTTCTTTTTCTCCTCCTCCTCCTCCTTCTGTTTTTTCTTGTGTTTGAGTCATAAATTCCTCTTATCTACATAAGAGATTGTGCAAGAAATATTTCCGGGGATAAACAAATTGTTCTCCACAACAAAACAACCTAAAGCGCTCTGCACTGTATCCTAGAACTTCAAGGTACTCTCAGCTTATTTAAATCAAACCCCAAACTGGCCAAGGAACGTGACTCTAGAAGATACTGCCTGGTACGAAACCAGCTTTGTGCTTCCTTTGATGTCTCAAGCATCCCTGATGAAGTTCAAGATAAATTTTGCGAAACGACTTCTTGGCATGCATCTTATTTGATAAAAATCAGCTGACTCTGTTGAGGCGGGTTACGTACTGGTCATACCCAACTGTCACCATGGTTACGTTTCAAATTTTATTCCTCTTTTTTTTTTTCCTACGCATCTCCGTGAGAGCGGAAATTTGGGCTTCTTCAACTGAAAATCCAAACAAAAAGCAGCTTAAATATTGAATAAAACACTAGGCGTGCATTAGCGAAAGCTTAACCCCAAATTTGCAAGCTGATTGAATCAATCAATCAACTGATCAATTAATCAATCGACTAATCAATCAATCGACTAATAAATCAATTAACCAACTAGTCAATCGATTATTTAATTAATCGATCAATCATTCAATCGATAAATTATTCGATCGATCAATCAATCAATCAATCAATCAGTCAGCATTCCCTTTACATAAAATTGCTCTCTTTGCGACAAGCCTAAAAGTCTATCTTTATCTAGCCAACTTTCCAGCCCTGTGTGCTTTCATAGTCAATACATCTTAAATGTCCTGTATCCCCATTCGCGGAACTCTGCCTCTGCCCTTGTTTCCCGCAAACTGCACATTCCATCACTGTTCTCTCCCGACCACCATGGCACTTGATATGATGAAAATGCCTTGGAACAGAATGCTGTTTATGAGCCAATTCTCCTTGATGTTCAGGTCATGCAGGATGTTTACGTTTAAATTTTTTTTTCTGGCTTATTTGTGAGTTGTAATTTCAACCATAACATTATTGTGTCGTAAGTTAACACTGTTTTTAAATATTTATAAAGAAATATATTTGTTATGTGTGTTTTCATTTACCCTATAAAAAAGCCTTATTATTAACATTAATATTTTGGGTCGCGGGTCATTTTGACTATAAAATGTAGTCGCGACTGGAACAACACTGGGAACCACTGCATTACTGGATACGTCAATCGCTTCGTGGGCAGCCACCTAGTAGCGCCGCTAGACGATCGCCATTGGTCGTGGGTTGAAATTCAGACGGAACCTGACTTCATTTTACTTCACAAATGACTTTGACTCTCAGGTCAACCCAACCTTAAATGAGTTCCAGGTAAAGTCCTGCGAAGTAAAGGCTGGGGTGGGATGTTGACACATCACCCGACGGGTTAAGTTCACGTAAATCTCCCAAAACAAAGTAGGTCACTTTTTATTCACAAGTTTGTTAAGTTGTTCGACTTTCCTGAAGGTTACAGACGCGTCCCGCTCTGTTGTTTGCTTTCTGTGATGTCTTGCATTTACGTTTTCTTTCCGAGGAAGAGAATGCCTGTGACATAGGTTGCAGCACTCTCTGGGGTAGGGGGTGGAGTGGGGTGTGATAGGGCCAGTTTCTCTATGTTTTTGGAGTGTTAAAAGCATTGGCGTGCTGAAATATAGAAAAGGAGATATCAACGGCATTGCGGAACACCCCCGTAACCTTGTGCCAAGGTGACAGGTTCAGGAACTACCAATCAGAAGTAAGCTAGTGTGTATATGAGCGGGGCGTTGGGGAAACTAACGTTACTTTAACCCACCCACCGAGTCTCGATTGGTCTATAAAATCTAGGTCCTACATTGTAGGCTCAGTACGTATGAAGACGTATTCAAATACTCAGCATAGATATCAGAAAGCACTTCATGTATGTGTTATAATGTTTTATTACAGCTGTCCATGTGAAACATACTACATCATAACGCATGCACCACCACAAGTCGCTGGCACAGCCGTTGACTATATTCACCAACATAAATAGTGAATTTACAGCATTTAACATTCACATCCGTCAAAAAAAAACTTGCTTAATAATTATTGTCCATAATTACAATCTATGAAAGAAAATTTTAATCTGGTGGTCTCTAATGTACGAGGCATATACAAACCTCCCCCTCCCACAATGTGAATGCGCATACGCGCGCGCACACACGTACCTCAGCATCACACGTCTGTATATGTTAATTTACAAAACGGAAATATATTTTTAAGATGCTTCTACATCCCAGGGGAGCACCCGTGGTGTAGCGATTAGACGCTGGCTTGCAGATTGGAGGGTCGTGAGTTAGGGCTAGCCCTATATGCCAACTACGTCTGAAGGCGTGGGAAAGAGTCCTTACTCTACATCCAAGATAAATGAGAGAATAACAAATAACACTAACACATTTATTACATCGCCCATGCTGTTATAAGAAAGAGACAAACACTGTTTTTTGGCCACATAATGAGAAGAGAGACATTGGAGAACATCGTGACAACTGGAAAAATCGGTGGAAAAGGGGTAGAGGCAGACAAAGAGAGGTGATGCTGGATGGGCTGAAACGATGGCATAGAGGGATATCATCAGAGAGCTGTTCCAGGCAACCAGGGATCGTGATATGTGGAGACGCATGAGAGCCTACGCCAGTTGGCAGGACACATGATGATGATGATGATGATGATGATAATGATGATGCTCCAGAGTAGAAACCGAAGGGTTGAACAAGACTGTATGGGAAAATACAAAAGGCAAGGGAGAGAGAGCATCGACACAGTCGTGCATGGAGTTGGCTCCCGTTCCAAGTTGTTATATTATCTACGTAATCTGTCATTTGTTGGCTATGCGTGAGAAGGCGGACACTGGGACAGAGTGTAACCACAAGCAAGATTTGTAGAATGAGAGACAGAGGACCACAGCAAGAACAGTTTCTAGACAGCCTTTTCTATGGCGTGAAGGGATGACAGCACATGCACCGATACACGCTGCTGGAGATCACACGTTGTAGAGAGGCATGATCGCCTACGCCAGCCAGTAGGCTACACCATGATGAAGATTGTCTAGTGCGTCCTATAATCAAAATATTTGTTCTTTACTCTAATAAGTAAAGATCAATAAATGCGACGTTATTTCCTAATTTTTTTTATGCCTACAACAGTACCCCAACAGTTAAATTACATTTTTTAAGTGCGGATATAAAGAATACACTGCACAATTTACTGTCTGATATATTTCACTTTATCTCTTCAGGTGCATTACTTAAACTTAAACATATTCTCAGTGATTTCAATGAGGCAGGATGAGAAGATTTTTCTGGAGACAACACTGAATCGGCAACGCTCAAGAGAGTACAAGAACTGCAGTCGTCGAAGATCCCAGAGTCATGTCAGTCAACTACAACTAAACACTAACTAACAACTACTAACTAACTAACTGCCAAAGAGAAAGCTCCATAGTAAAACAACACGGAACTGGTGTTAACAGTCGCCACACGCTGAGAGATGTATTACAGATGAGATCCCAGTGTTTCTATGTCAGGTACTAATCAACTCCGATGTACAACTAGAAGTCAGGATAAAACAACTCTGTCAACGTTGAACTAACTAACTAAACTTCACTAAAGGCCACAAGTAACTAACTAAAGTATAAACTAACTAACTAACTAACTATACTAACTAATCGAACTAAGAATAACTAAAATCTAAACTAACTAACTAAACTAACTCGACTGCCAACCCGACTACGAACTAACTGTGGTCTCATGCCCAACTAGCTTGTGCAAAGCATCAGTCTAACTTCCACAGGTTAGTCTCGAATAGCTAACTAACTAATCTAACTAACTACCCATCTAACTAACTAACTGCCAATGTTTCTAACTAAGCTAACTAAACTAACTAACTAATCTGTAACTGTACTAACTACCCTACTACATAACTAACTAACTAACTAACTAACTAACTAACTAACTAACTAACTAACTAACTAACTAACTAACTAACTAACTAACTAACTAACTAACTAACTAACTAACTAACTAACTAACTAGCTAGCTAACTAACTAACTAACTAACTAACTAACTAACTAACTAACTAACTAACTAACTAACTAACTAACTAACTAACTAACTAACTAACTAACTAACTAACTAACTAACTAACTAACTAACTAACTAACTAACTAACTAACTAACTAACTAACTAACTAACTAAATAACATAAAATAAAGCACACAAATGAATACTTTTCGCCAAAATGCACAAACCACATTGTCGAGTTACTA